ACACACTAAATGATTGCTAAATGATTGCTAACTAAATGAAACTTGTCATACCTAAACTGGTCCATAAGGGTTTGTAGAGAATTGCTTCCTTTGCAATAATACCAGCAGGTTGATTAACATCTTGGAATAAGCATTAAAGAGAGGTGATACCCTGCTGGCTCTGTCCCTTAATGCCAAAAAGGTTTTGACAGGGTCATCTGGGAATTCCTGAGCTGAACGCTGTACAAATTTGAATTTCAAGAATCTATAAAAATGCTGCTATGGCTTTTTATTATTGCCCTGTGGTGAAAATCGTCTGCCCTGGAATAGAGGCTGACTAGTTTCAAATAAGTATAGACACTCGTCAGGGGTGTCCATTGGCACCCATGTTGTATATCTCAACTGTGGAACCACTGGCAGCAAGGATCAGAGACCATTATGAAATTAGGAAGTAGGCAGGAAAGATTTTGAATCCAAGATAAGTCTCTATGCTGACTATATCCTTTTAAAGTCCACTAGATCTTTGATGCAGGGGTTTGCAACCTTTAGCTAATTGTTCAGTTACTAACTGACTCGGTCAGTCAAAAATATAATGAGAGTAAATTTTGAAACTCTATACAAAGAGAACAAAGATAAATTATTGGGGCAATAGAAAAACAGTGAAATATATTGGCCGGGAAGGTCAACGTTATTAAATCATATATCCTTCTAATGTGCTCTTCTTTATTTAGAATGCTCCTGCTGGCTCTTCTCAGACCTAGGTTAATTAGAGTACAAAAATGTTTCATATATTATATTTAGGGAGAAAGAAGCCTAGAATTATTAAATCCAACCTAACTAGAAGTCCTAAAAAAGGGTGCTTTGGTATTCCTAATATAGTCGGATATTATGACACTACTAATCTATTTCATGCGTACAAGTGGAAAGATCCAGCACATGAGCAACATTCATGATATAGATTAGAATCTCAAATTCTGGATAAGGATAATTTGACACTGCTAATGTGGTTGAACTGGCCAAGATGTGACCATTGATTCCTTGTTTTAAATCTTCTAGCAGCATGTAGAACCAATAGGAAATTGAAGGGGATTTCAGACATGGTACTGGGCACTTGCTCAGTTAATAATTTTTTGTAATAAAAGAAAATGCTGAAACATCACACCAGTATGTTTATTATGTTTATTTTTTGGTGGCCCTTATCCAGAATAATAAACTACAACAACCACTCATGAAATGGACATGTATGGACTCTCAGCAGTAAAAACATCAGCATGCATGGATATCTACATTAATGCACAATACATTCAGCAGATATTGACAATTGGTGTCAGAACAGCATAAATATGATGTAAAGCAAGGGCAACAGTTATCCCAAACTTGCAAAAATGAATCCAATTCCACAGTAGTTAATTTACTAAAATGTAAATTGAAAATCAAATTTCAGAATTTAGACAAATACAGGCAAGCTGAAAAAAAATGTTTTATTGGATAATTCTTACAAATCCTCATTTTAGCCTATTTTGACAAATGATTTTCAATTCCTCATAGTTCATTGCTTAGTGAATACACCTTCTAAATTGTGGAGAATAACATGGAAAAAATGGAGGATGACTATAAGGTAAGCAGACAATATAATAGAGCAGCAGGAAATGCTAGCAGAATGCTTGGTTGTATAGGGAGAGGTATTAGCAGTAGAAAGAGGGAAGTGCTCATGCCATTGTACAGAACACTGGTGAGACCTCACTTGGAGTATTGTACTCAGTACTGGAGACCGTATCTCCAGAAGGATATTAATAACTTGGAGAGAGTTCAGAGAAGGGCTACCAAACTGGTTCATGGATTACAGGATAAAATGTACCAGTAAAGGTTAAATGATCTTAACATGTATAGCTTGGAGGAAAGACAAGATGGGGGTATATGATAGAAACATCTAAATACATAAAGAGAATAAACACAGCAAAAAAGACTATATTCAAAAGTAGGAAATTTACCACAACAAAAGGACATAGTCTTACATTAGAGGGGCAAAGGTTTAAAAACAAAATCAGGACGTATTACTTTACTGAGAGGGTAGTGGATGCATGGAATAACCTTCCAGTTGAAGTGGTAGAGGGTAACTCAGTGAGGGAGATTAAGCATGTGTGAGATAGGCATAAGGCTATCCTAACTATAAGATAAGGCCAGGGACTAATGAAAATATTTAGAAAATTAGACAGACTATATGGGTCGAATGGTTTTTATCTGCCATCACATTCTATGTTTCTATGTTTTAATGTTAAAACCCAGCCATTTCAGTTGTGCCGTTACTCTGGCACATAATTATAATATCATGACTTCACAAGTTATGTCTTTCCTTTAACTGTATTTAAAAATAAAATTAATTAAGCAATATAATTGGTTAGAACAGCCCTAACATTTGACATTTCAGAAATGTGCATGGCATGCTGAGGGTCTTCTGTTCTCAATATATCACTGTAATTCCCTCCTTCTTGCAACACCTATATTGTACCAGATGATAACCCTGTCCATTGGAGCTAAGTATGATCTTTGTGGGTGAAAGTTCAGCTAATGAATCAAGTACATTACTTTAACATCCTAATGGAATGTTTAGAAACCTGCAGCCCCCAAAATTCTGTGTACTTCCTTACTAATAAATGTAACTTATAGGATTTTTAATAAAAAGGGTCACGTTCCACAAACACTCCAGCAGCAGAATTTTCAATCACAGGATTAATAGTCTTATTAATGTCCCATCAGTGAAAAGACAGAGTTATGTTTCGGTCATAATGACCTTCATCACACTCTTATAGACTTAGCAGAAGAGTGAGTCGAAAGCCGTTTTGACCGAATACAAAACTCTGCCTTTACATGTGATTGGAAACCATGTTGTTTGAGATTTCATAGAACTCATAATGAAATATGGGGATGACTGCGGGGGGGCCCTTGAACAGAGAAAAGAAAGAGATGGATGAATGGATAGATGGATGGACAGATAGATAGATAGATAGAAAATGCAACTGCATGACAAGTTAGATGTCATTTGAATAGACCTCTTTATTTACAAATGTGAAATTCTTGATTTTTCAAAACTGCAGATTTGTCTGACAAAGAATCCACACTAGATTTCCCTGAACTATTACATGTATTATGAGAAATATTGTTTAATTTACCATGACTAATGGAAATGAGCCCATAGAAATGTATGCTAATTGACACCTATATATAATGGAATGTTACACTATACTGCATAAGGCTCTGTTTAATTATATACATCGTGGGCATGTAAAATGTTGTTGATAAATTGTCTTTAATGCCTTCAATAAAGAACAGAATGATTTGCCATAAAATAATAATTTGGAATAGATCTAAACTTAAAATAGTCCTCCATTTAGATAATGGAATTTACATGTCACTCAAAACATTAATGAGCAACATAGTATAGTAAGTAGATTTGGGCATTCGTTTTCGGACTAACATGTTTTCATCTGAGTTTCAACAATTCTTCCATTAAAATTATTGCTCCAATTGACTAGAGGTCTCCAAACCCCTAGTCACAACTCCTGTTGACTAGAGATCCACAAGCCCCTAGTTGTCCCCCCATAAAAAAATCCCTACCTATCCCCTCTTACCTGTCATTCTCAAGATTTACCTGTCGGAGCACTTTTATTGGTTGGCTTATGCTAACCAATCAGAGAGCTCTGACTCAAATTTGCTTTTAAGGCTTTCCCTTCCCTGCGAGCTCAGTCTGGTAAGGATGGATTATTTTTTGTCAGGATTCATTTCTATTTTGCATTTGGTTCCTTTTAAAAAAAAATCTTTTTGTAATTTATTTATTTTGAATTTCAATAGTTTGATGCGACTATTCATATGGAAGAAAAAAGAAGAGCTCTACTGGAAGGTAATAAAGTTTTATTTATGGGTATTTAGTTTTTGTCCCTCATTACTATTATTAGGGTAAGGGGATTAGGTAGGGTATTTTTTATGGGGGGGTTACTAGGGGCATGGGGATCCCTAGTCACTATGGGTGGGTGACTAGGCGTTTGGGGGGTGAATCATTTTTACTATTAGCCCCAACTGCTGCCAAGGGGTGGGGCCTGGGAGAGACAATAGGTCCACCACTCACTTTATTATTTACGGTGAGACAGCTTAGTGGGCCGATGCATCACTAGCAGAATATACCCAATATGTGAGGGGCAGGAAATCAGTCTGTTGCGTCCTTTTCTTTCTTGGTAGATTTGATGTTAAACTGGCAGCAGTGAGCCATTGTTAGATGTGAAGGCCTAACCGTGGGATAGATCAAACGTGTGGGGAAGGGGATTACTATATGATATAAATATATATATATATATATATATATATATATTGCCCTTGCTTTACATCATACTTATGCTGGTCTAACACTAATTGTCAATATCTGCTGAATATCTCTATTGTGCATTAATGTAGATATCCATGCATGCTGATGTTTTTACTGCTGAGAGTCCAGACATGTCCATTTCATGAGTGGTTGTTGTAGTTTATTAGTCTGGATGAGGGACACTGGTGTGATGTTTTAGCATTTTCTTTTATTACAGAAAAATAGTTTACCATTTTCAGTATGGCTGCTATTGTAAAAGAATATTTATTTATACATATTGTAACGGACCGTTTTACACATAAGAGGTTAAAAACCTTTAGGCGATATTCCCCTTTCCAGATGCACCGACAGCTACTGTAAGCACCAATCTCCCGAACTGCAAACTACACGAATCCTCCAACTCCCGAACAGGAAACACACAAATACTAGAAACAGCCGAACAGGAAAAGCATACAATCAGCTTACACACCTGGCAATCAGCATACAATCCAATTCCCCCCAAGAACGAGACAACACTTCGTTTTAAGGGTCAAGCAGGAACAGGTTTACTGGGGCTAACTGCCCGGCTTTTATGCAGGTCTCCCACCTGGTGGACACTCCCCTAGGGGACCAGATGGGAAACTGGGAAACATATTGGACATTAACCAATCACAAGTTTACAATCCCACAATGCATCACAATCCCTCCTCTCTGTCCTGGAGATAATTGGGAAGTAATCCAATTATCTCCAAGGACAGAGGCAAAACTCCATTAACCACATGGTTACAATAAAACACTAAAATACAATAAAATACATAATGTTACATTTGTCACATAAAATATATACATTCTACATATCCCCAGATAGCTTAGATCTGAGCGCACATTACTACCGAATGGCGCTCAGATCACATACATACAGTTCAATCGCCATGGAGCCAAAGTCTTTCCCATAGTCTTTCGTTACACGAATAGGCTCCATGGCATGGCTATTTGGGGTGATGCTGTTCATACGGTCAAACTACCGAATGAACAGTGATTCGATTCCACTACCAAATGCAGAGTTAAGGAGGCTGGTGGCTCAGCGGTGTTCGTGCAAATAAGTGTCTGTTTTCAGTTCCATAGTTTGGGCGCTGAACACCGGGAGTAAAAATGGCCGCTGCCACGTGTTCGGCAGACGAACAAAGGTCAATTGACGGCACACTCCAGTTCCCAGGTGGTCGATTGTTCGGTACTTTGTTCGGTAGATTGAATCTAGCGAACACCCCGGCAGAAAGGCACGAATGCGCTTTTCTGCGGGGAAAATAAAAGATTTCAAAATTTCGGGCCATAGTCTAAAGGGAGCAGGCGAGCAACCAGGCTCCTCCAGTGGACAGTGACGAGGCTGGTTTTGTCACATATTTATTTATTTCATATAGTAATCCCCTTCCCCACACGTTTGATCTATACCACGGTTAGGCCTTCACATCTAATAGAGAGAGAGAGAGAGAGAGAGAGAGAGATAGATTAAAGGGGTTGTTGCTGTGTGGGGCTGGACTGTGTGTTTGTGATAAATTTATAGTATTGTGTTGTTGCCTTCTAATAAATACCTTTTAATGTAGATGAACCTTGTGTAATATATATATTAATTTGGTAATACACCACAGGGGATGGTGGGCCTGTGCTTCCCAGGCTTCCCTTTATTGGATTAGTTTAGTCTTTTTTATAACACTGAGTAGCCACTGGCTGTTCACTGTTTACCAGACATGCCCTACTCACAAAACGGCAGACAGGAGCAGGAGGGAGGATTTTAACCTACCTTATTTACTAACACTATATATTTTTGCTTAGTTGTAGTAAAGTTGTCGTGATTGTGGTCTTTCAACTTCTTAGTAGATAGCTCCCTAATGTGGGATTGCCATAAATATACATAAAAGGAGCTATGTACTAAACAGCTCCCTAATTTGGTATCCTTAAATATGGCAATCCCACAAAGATAACAAGTTAGGAAATTGTCTACTAAATAGTTGCAAGATGCAACAGCAGCCTGCAGCACCGATCAGAATTTAATTTCAATCGAATTCCTAAACAAAAGTAAGGCCCAATCTTGTCCAAAAAATGACTGAACAAATGGACAAAATTTGGTTAGGACAAAACTAATTTTTTTTCCAGATGAATGTATTTAGACGAGGCAGATATTTCGGCAGCCCCAAAGTTTAGTAGTAACTCATCTTACGTTATAATAGAGCAGTCTGTTTCACTACCTGCATTACAGTCCACAACTCTCCCTTTTTCTAAAGGATAAGAAAAATGTACAAAAATATACCACATTCTTCAAGTACTAGACAAAAAAACATGATTACATTTAGACAAGTAGCAAATTAACAATTTTTTTTAATGAATTTAATGTTATTTGTTTAAGTAATATTGTAATACATAATATTATTGCAAACACATTTTCTGCTTCCTTATATAAGTATCTACTTATCTGATACACAAAAGGAAATGTTACCGCATAAGAAAAATGAGAGCTAGAACAAAAGAAGAAAAATATAGAGGAACATTGTGATGGATTTTACCTGCTGTTATACACAAGGATTCTACTTTTAGATTGCCGAACACTTAGTCAAGAGGCTAGGAATCTCCCAAACCAGGAACAAAGCCAAGACTGTTGTTTCAAGCCCTAGTTTATTAGATGTAAAAACACATGTTTTTTCCAACCGAGTAAGATGTTGTGCCTCATAGAATAATGCAATTTTAAGAAAGGAACAAATACATTACATTGAACTAAGGAAATGGCCAAAAGGGAGGATTGTAAGTTGCCTGCACATATGGCAATTTACCGTGTTCTGACGTGTATTGAAGATCACTCGATCCCACATAATCAACATGCTCTGCAGGGGCTCTTTACTACCACTTGTACCTGCAAGTACCTGAATCTTACTAGGACTCACAGATCGTTCAGTGAGCACCACTTCCAACCTGATGTCCTGGATGGACAACTTCTCATTTAAAGCCCATATCAGGACCTCGCAACACTGGATCCTTCTTTAAAGTTTTATAACACAGCTGCCACAGATAATAATAATTTTAAAAAACAAAAACTCTAAAATAAGCTTAATGTAGTTGTGCTAGTGAGAATAGTCAGTCCCTGCAGGCTTTTTGCAGTAAACACAGTCTTTTCAGAGAAAAGGCAGTGCCTACATTACAGCCTAGTGATTCCTCCACTGGCCACTCTTCAGATAGCTACTAGAGGTGCTTCCTGCGGCAGTGCTGCACAGTGTGCAGCATTGGCATTCGGTGTCTCCACCCTCTGCATGGAAACACTGAACTTTCCTTGTAGTGATGCATTGATTCAGTGCATCTCTATGAGGAAATGCTAATTGGCCAGGGCTGTGTTTGGCTTGTGCTGGCTCTGTCCCTGATCTGTCTCCTTGACGATCTTAGCCATTCCAATGCTCTCCTATGGGAAAGCATTGTGATTGGCTGAGATTATCACTTCTGATGATATCAGCCAAGGAAGCACATCGGGTGCAGAGCCAGCAGCAGCAGACTGGAAATAAAGGGAAGAATTTACTATATTTAGGGTGTAAGAGGGTGGCCAGGCGGGCTAGATGGTGTGTTTAACACTATTGGGTCAGATATACATGTTGTATAGTGTTCCTTTCATATAACTTTTTGGTGCATATAAATTGATGGAAATTTTAGAAGTTTAATGTATTATTAGAAACACCACATTTGTAAAACAATACGGTTTAATTTGGGTGGTTGGGTGAGAGTAGTGTGACAGGGGATCAATGAGGCCCAAAATCCCTTACCCCAGAACCTAAACAACAAAATCCATTGACAATTATCACAAACTGAGAGACATTTAAAATACCTGATTGAAAAGAAAGAGAATGGTTTGAGAGGATCTCATATGCACACCTGAAATAGCTTTTTTAATACATAGTATTAGATTAATCAAATAAATCAATAAGTGTACCAATGCCGCATGAAAACCAGAAAACCAAAATACCTTTACCAAGCAGATATACATAAATAAATAATTTGTCATTAGCAGGTGACATTTAAAACAACTCCGACATTCTCAGCACAAACGCAGGTCATTACCTGTAAATTATAATACTGTTCTTATTGGGAATAAATTCTGCATCTTAAACAATGACAGGATGAGCAATGCATTTTACTCCTGTTTATGACCTCTCGTCTATGCTGAGCTGTGTGTGCTGTTAATAGCTCTCTGCGCAACCAAAACTGCATGCAAATGGCCTGTTTTTCCTTATTGGACTAGTTATATAACAATAAGATATCTCAGGATAGTTACATTAGATTAATATTTATATGTGGGCGGAAGATGTGACAATATTAAAATGACCACACGCAGGGTCCCCCTTTAATTGCTTTGTTCTTGCGAGGCTGTTGCCGTCTTTTGAACTGTCTTCATTTCTCTAATGAAAATAAATCTGCTCCACGCAGAAGGTAAATAACACTTAACAAGAACAACTGATAGGGCACGGTGTGTGAGCAGCACGTAATATCCAACTCCGTCCTTCCTGAGCTTAACATAGATTGCAAATTGTAAACTGGATACAGGGCATAAAATATTAGTGTTTCCCAGAGATTCGTGAGCTGAATTATATTAAAGGAATAGTAATGACTAATTATAAAGTGAAGTCATGCTTTTTATTATGTTATGCAATATATATTTATATAAATATATTATCGACAAGGGGATGTCTCTTTAAAACTTAATTATCACCCCGATATAAATGATCATACATAACAGATTAGATTCTGCTAAGTCAGGCGCTGTAATTTAGTCTCAGTATGTGCAAGCATTTGTTTCTCTGTATGTCCTTGTGAGCTTATAGTGAGTCATACAGGAGGGCTTCAAGTGAAATACAAGGTAAATTAATAAATGAAAAGGCACTATATACAGTATATATACAATAGTCTATATAATTTTAATGTATTTTTACAGAAAGACAGCAGGCTTCATAGTTGCTTTAATCTTTTTCTTTACTGATACCTCAAACAGCAAAGAAACAGTTAACATTATTTGTAAAAATCAAGAAATTAGCATTAAGATGGACATGCAAAACCCCAACAAGACCCTTCCACTTCCTCTTTTTTTACTGTTGCATCCAGGTGAGCATTTTCCATCTCAGAGTATTTCAGCTCTACTCTGGTATATGATTTTATTTGGTTCAGTATTTACCCTGTTGGTTTGCTGTGATTAGCTCTGCGGGTGCTGGTGTTGGGTTTGCCTTGTTTTGGCTGTGTCTTTGCTGCTATTTACCATGACTGGGGTGCAGTTCCTGCTGCCTTTCTTGGCATCCATGTTGCCCCTCTGCTCTTACACTCTTGTTTCTGGGTGCATTTGGTCCTTGGCTGCCACATATTAGGCTGTGGCTTTTACCACAGCACTGCAGCACTCTACTGGATTCACGCATCCTAAGACGCACCCTTTCCTCGGAATTGACCACTCCTGGCAATATCACGAAGTTCCTGCACTATGAGCTCTGTGATGTGTGGCATGTCCCAGGACTATGGTGCTGAAAAGGTGGCCCTCACTCTGGAATTCATTCCTGTCATTGTCATGTTTATGACCAAGACTGGCAAGGATCCCTTCAAAGATTTGGAGCAGAGACTCTGCTCCAAACAGGATAAGTTGCTGGAGATCAGCGGATCGCTGACCAGATAGTGGCAGAAACTCTGAATGGCAGGACAACCATGTATGCTTATCTTCTCCAAAAATGTGCACTCTGCTTATTGGGCATTGTCAACTTGGCTTCAGCTGCTGAACGTTGCAAAGCGGTGCTATTTAAGCTGAATGCAAAATTGGTGGACATTGGGTTGGAACCAAAAGCTAGGGGTTTCCTGTTCTGAGAAAAGTTCATGAAGGATGTGATTAACACATCTTTGAAAAAGGCTCACGTC